CTATGATGTGAAGTAAGTGGGACAAGTAATTAGGGCTGTGCTGTTGTAATGAGGAATCTGATGCATATCTGTAGAGAATATGTGTTTGATACTGTTTTTTTTTTCGCTCAATAATCTTAAGTTAAACGCTAAAAAATACTCCTTCAGAATTCTACGAAATCAAAGACAACAAAAACAACACTTCAGCAACCAACTGGTCTTGATATTTTAACCTTCCTGTACCAAATATAATTGACTAAATACCAATAAAACATTCTTAAAGACACACTATTTGGTTGTATTGAAAACATATTCATTGTTGTTAATTTCCAAATATCTGTTTCATAGTGTTTCACTACAAACATTGGATACCTTGACGAATATCACATGCAACAGACGTTTCACGGTAGTCGAGTTCAAAATATGGTGATGAGAACCAATTAGATTTTTTCTCTCTGCCTGATTATTGATTTGTGTATAATGCATCCTTAAATCTTGAATAAATATTAAGTATGTAAGTCATTCTATTTACTGTCTGTGTACAAAGAGAGTATCATCGCAGTGTCTAATTAGTTAATCGTACTTGGTATGTAATATCTTAATCCTAATACGTAGTTAACCCTGTATGCTGTAACAGCTAATTCATCTCTAGGAAATCGATATCAAAAAGAGTCTTTAATGCTGTTAGGATTTGACCTTGTATGTCTCAGTTTTAATGAGTAAAACATTCCATAGTCTCGAAACGAATCAGTCTCGATGATTTACCCGATTTGTAACCACATAAAAAAACACATTTATTTCTGTACATTGAATTAAATGTTTTGTCAAAACAAATCTACTGCCAGATGGTACAGTTCACCATTTAATGTGTTTCACATATTTTGTTGGAAATAAATAATTCTAGTGAGTTGTAAATATCGTCACAGAAACTAGAAATGTTGTAACTACATGTATTTACAATATATTTTACAGAAGCTTACTGTCTGGAATACCTTGTCTTATTCTCCGTGTTTATGGAGTCCTCATGTAAATTCTTTTGTTCATATTTGCCCTAGTTTTATTGAATTTGACTATAGATTATGTTGACATGTTAGTATTTCTTTTGTGTGTGTGTGTTTTTTTTTATAACGACCTATTATAACATAAAATTGTATTTGTCTATTAATGGCAATTCTTTTTAATAACAACTAAATAGAAATATTTTTGTATTTCAATTTGTTTTTCATAATATCACAAAACTGCACATTATACATGTAGCTTTTGAACAGCTGACTGATGTATTTAACTGATTCGTTTCATTCCTGATACGAACTCTGATTTTCAATGATGTTTATTACTGTTGACATTTTCTCCACAAAAGTTTCCTAAATAATGTTTTAATGATATATTTGATATAAACAAAAGAATCTCGCATTATATATGACATGAATAAACACAATTCGCAAATTAATTTGCAATAAACGTTTGCATCTACAGGGAAAATAACTATACAAATAAAAAAAATGCATTTAAATTGATAGATATTTAGGATGTATTTCAAAAATAAATACATTATGATACACACAGTTTCCTATGTTGTGCAAGAAGAATGATTTCAAGTAATCAATCAATCAATCTGATGGTAGTATCATTTGTTTCTTGAAGGAAAAAAAATGAACGGACATTTTTTTCGGTGGTGATGTTTATGATTGTAGGACAGTAACTATCTGTGGAACCGTCATTTTGGATAACCTGCTACAATATTATAATAATCTTAACTTTCTTACACTTGTAATGGTACTATTTAATAAACAGGAAAAAATAATAAGTATAAATTTTCAACACACAGGAGAAAAATTGTTAAGAGTATAGAATACTTGTTTGCACCAAGGAAAGAAATAGACAAAATTTAGACACATATAAAAATACACACGTATATATTATGTGGATTGAACGAGATAACCATGATAATATGAACAATAACGGCGAATTTACAACAAAATAAACGATTACTTTATTTTGATATCGTATTGGATTCATTCCGAGTTAACTTGTCCATTATCGGCAGCGAAAGTTTGACGTAATACGTAAATGTTCCATCTCTGTCTATACAAATTTAGATGAGATGGGAGTAGATTTCAAAATAACCAATAACATCTATAATAGGGCATCACAATGTCCCGTTACACCCGGCTTTGTTGATGGGTGTGAAGCCCCCCGCGTTTCCGAGTCTCTGTATTACCGTACGACAATGTAAACACCGGTCTCGCGCGCCGAGCCCGGAATTATGTTACGGCACTTAGCCGGTATTGATCAATCGCCAAGAAAAGAGGCAGTTTGTGACACAGGAACACATTGGCTATCGCTGATATCCGCTAAACGATTTGATTGGTTCGTACACGTAAATCACTTCTCAGCGCTACTGAATAAGGCAATATATAAAACTTTAAAATGACAAACAGCAGGAACGCGAATTATAATCATTATTATCACGGTATGTTTATCGTTAAACGTCGATGTTAGTATCCTTCTGTCAGTCACAGACGCTTTACATTTTAATGTGATTTATTAACGATGATTACTCTGATACCACTTTAATTGTTCTACTGGAAGTTTGTGGTTTTATTTTTGGAATACTCAGAATATTTGTGATTTTGTGAAATCATCAAGATTGCCAGGATATCAGTATTTGGCTACTAAAATCAGCTGTAGCTCTGGAGACAATATGATACATTGTCATTAAAATATGTCAACTGGACAAGCAACATTTATTGACGATTTACCTTCAAATCTAATACCCGGACAATTAGTATTTAATTAATTATGGATGTGATTGACCACAAGCTAGAGTGATTTGAAAAGTGCTAACAGTAAAAATTATTAAAAGGAAGATCTGCGAAAGAAATTAATCCTTTCTGAAAATCACATCCCGGACAAATCTATTTCATTACCAGTTTAGCGGATTACTTTGGCTTTTCATGGAGACGACGTTGCGTGACAGATCACCTGCAGCGTTGACGGATGAAAATATTTACTGTTGATGACAAGACTGTAACAGTTCGGGTCTTCGTAACCTCATACACATCAAGATGCACATGCAAGCGCTGAAACAGGCCGATTACTTCAGACAATGCTCATTTGCGGGGTTTTCTAGTTTCATGTTCTCAGGTAAATGCGACGTCAATTTTAGGGTCATCTGTCACAATTAACTGCTGAAGCGTGTACAAACAAATGCATGTCACGTCATCCATCACGTGTATATCAATCCGTCACCTCAATATCAGCGGCGGAACTCCTGTAGAGTTTTTATGACTATGACTGTGATTTCTCGATGAATTTTTAACAGTTGATTGTTTTAATAATTATTCTTATAATGTATTTCCTTTTAATCAACTCTCTTCCTGTAGTTTTTAAGATCGAACTCTACAGATTAATGTAATGTTCAATGTTTCGGTTAACCCCTTTTTCATGGACACATTAGATTTTTTGAATTGTTACAGTTTGCAAATATATGTTTACACTGTAAATTTTTAATTTGAATTTTGTTTTTACAAATGTAACTGGTCTATTTAACCGGAAATACAGCAGTCTATGTATATCTAAAAATATTTCTATGGCACTTAATCATATATCTATTTTGGTTAGAATTACTACATTATTTTATCTGATTAAAAGTCATGCATAATACCATATAAATATTCTCATTGTAACATATTCATTGAAAATCAGCACTGTATTGTGTTGATTGAAGTATACAGTGTTTAAAAAGTACATTAGAATGAACAAAAAATCCCTTTTCATGCTTATAATTCACCATTTCAATCAACCTGTCTGATTCGTGTAGTGAATGACTTTATGTATAATGATATACACGCTGCTTTCAGGACGAACTCCTCCAACGTCTATTTATTATATATACGTTATATAGATACATTATATATTTAATAGATAATATACATGTCGTTAAACAGTCACGTGCGCTCTTACATAGGTTGTATTGTCAAGTCTACCCTGTGGTTATGCCTTTTTCATAATATGTTAAACAAAATCAACATTCAAGCTGAAGGTTACAAGCGTCCAGAATACTTTGTTGTTGTGTTTCCGGCGTACACACGTGAATTGGGAAGTAATTGATTCATGTAATGAAATATACGTTATGAAACAAGGTTAATGTAGAGTGTTTCCGGGAAAAAAAGCTTTGTATCATGTGCTACCTCTAGAAATGGTATGACACAGGCCCTATTGATACATTGTATCTCCCTGAGACGGTGTAATATAATTCTTATTTGTACAGTACGTGAATGTGTGATATCAGATACATTAATACAGTCTTACTTAGTAATGATAATGTACCTTATATAAATAGATTCAGCTTGATAATATACTGTAATTATGTAAGTATATAGGTACATATATCCTCACGTTCGTAGTGTCTTACACGTGATATTAGTACAAACATATCACATAATTAGTGCATTAGTCACTATGTTTTTTTTTTTTACTTTGTATCAAAGTACAATTTGCAATCACGCAAAGTAGCATGTAAATATGAAGAAATCTCCAAACATCTCCGACCAAATAAATGTAAATGGCTTTGGAGCAGACTTGAAGTGTTATATAGATGTAGTGGTGAACATCCTATTTTCTAAACAAAATAATATATCTATTCAACACATAGCAAAACATTGTATGCTAATCGTTACGAATGAGTCAGAGTTACACTGTATACATGCTTAAAAATCGATTGTTCAGGTTGAATAAAAAATAATTTATAAAAAAAAGCTTCAAATAGTCCCAAATCAAACAATATACACCAAAATTTCTGGGAAGAGATATGACTAATACAAATGAATATCTGCCTTTATTGTAAACAGAAAACTTATATTTAGATCTACTCACTACAACTAATGTTGATTTCCAAAGGAATCACATTTTGATCTAAACATGATCGAGTTTAATGACATTTTTTTCTGAAAATACATGTTATTATTACTTTCCTGCATAATAATTCAACGTTTTATATTTTTTTATTTATATTTCAGATCATGGTTTCGGCAAGTCAGCCTGGACTCCACAGACAAGTCCAACTCCACAAGGTGAGTGATATAGACCAATAGTCCTCAATGTTATTATACAAATCATGTCCAACCCAGAAGAGTAGGTTATAAAGCAACTTGTCCTAATAGTGTATCTCAGATGAGTTAAACCCCGGTAAGTAGTCTACAATTAGATGGTTTGTCACTTGTCATTATTCCTTCATAAAGAATTTACAGTTTACAACGCAATGTTGTCTGGTAAAATTGTAAATATTATTTAATTTTGATGTATTTCCTTATAAAACTTATAAAACAACCGAGATTGTCAGAGGAATATACATATTTTCACAGTCTATATAAACTACTTGTTAAGAGAAAAAAGTAATTAATTGGTCTATTGTGTATTTCTTAATTATATGAAAGAGATACCAGCAATACACTTCATAAATTATAGTGCTGGTTATTTTAAAGAAAAGTCGTTGTTGTTCAGCATTGGTCTTAATACAGGATATTTAGTGACTTTTCCAAGATAAATACTCTTTTGTTTTCACTCTTTCTCCACAAAAGAAGATGTAGAAATAATCGATGCTTCCACTTGATGCCCTTAAATCACAGTGTCAGTCTTTACCATGGGCTAATCATCCAGCGCCTCTGATTTACAAAAGCACGAGAAAGTTTTCTTCACTCTCGTAGCTAACTGTATTAATCAAAAGAAGACCTGGAAAAGTCGAGAGGAAAATGTGACATCAGTATTGGACCTTATTACTTCCTTAGTAATTAGGTTTCGTCAATTGATCATTGTAATTTTTCCTGTTGTCTTTTCCTCCAAGACCTTTCATGGTTGTTGGGATTCCCAGCCATAAAGCAGTGTTATTTTGAAGCAATGATTCTGACAATCCTGGTATATTATCACGATGCCATATTAGTATTCGATTGGATGCAATCTTCCGGCGATTTGTTCTCTACTGGGGTAATGATGGAAGGAAATGTGAGAAATTACTGTCAGTTTTAACATACATCCAATGTTAAGTCGGTCTGGTTTGGTGATCAGGCTTTCCTTTATACGGTGATTTTCTAATTTCTATGGTAACAATTATTAACTGGTTAATTTCCTTTGCTTTCATTTTTTATATCATCATACATAGATGTTGATCTCTGTAAATCTAAACCGATCTTTTGTGTGTCAAATTAAAACCAATCATTTTTAATATGAACTCTTTTTGTTCAAAAAGAGAAACATTATCAGTGGGTCATTTTTTATCGATGATACAGATATTTTCGTCTATTTTCAAATACTAATTAGTGGTATAAATTTGGTTGTCGGATTATAAAAATAAATCCTGTTCATGAAAATAAAAATGAGATTTATAGTTTTTGATCAATAATTCTGCAGCAGGGTTAAACAAGTACAGGCCATTTTACTTCCTTTATATTGTGACTATGGTATGATATTAATTTCTACTTGGAAACCAGGGATATAATTTAGGCCACTGACACTGTGGAAAGTAATTATCTCATTCAACATTCAATTTCAAATTTCACAGTTAGCAATGACCTGTGATTGAGTTTGATTCCTTTTACCTGCCCAATTAGTGACTATGGTGGTAGATGATATATGTGTCGGTCTGCCCTCCACCTAGACCCTTAGTTTTAATTAGACGCGTCATAACTGTCGGGACGGGGTATCCGTTGTTTCTGAAGCTGATTTACGTTCCGGGTAGATGGTCGGAACCAACGTATTCATTGTTGTACATGTATTGATTCCAAGTGTACGACCCTAAACTACACTTAGAAACAACTCATCCTGAAAACAGTAATGAAATATGTACCTTTTCTAGGAGAGTCGCAACATGCACAGCACGTGTGTCATGTACGTGTCGTCTGTTAGTGACAAACACGCGCGTGCGGGGTCAAGGGTGACCATTGATTATCAGGGCTGTAGTGACCAGTGTCCGGAGAATGGCTATTAGATTTGTAAAGGTGTCTGCCATGGATGTAATGAAGCGTTTATTTGTATTGTAGAACAGAAATACTGATGTAAACGATAGCCTAAGTACACATCCACTACGCCATTGTTAGCCACTAAACAACTCTCAGGTTTGACATGGACAGACCCCACTGACTACAGCGGTCTTTGTCAACCGATTAACCAGCCCCTTATGACACCGGGTATCAGCCTGGCGAATACAGTCATTGACTCGGTATGAGGTCCAGTTAGTTAATGATTTGACTCTTTCTCACTTGACATAGAGTACCATTATTTGATTACGACTTAGAATCTCTGCTTTTTCATTCTATTCTGACAGGTTTTGTTTGACACGTATTCCGTGGAGGTTTCAAAGCCTCACATTCACTCATCATGTACCCTCCCTCGCCGACACTGTATATCGCTTTTAAGTTAAATCCGGGATGCGTTCTACCTTTTATGTCACCTTTAAGCAAAATAATGTTTACATGTAACTGTTAATTGACCGATTAAAAGTCCATTTAGTTAAAGTGATCTCGACTTAGTTTAGCCGGGTATTCTAGTCCATAATACTTGTAGAGTGGAGATGACAAATAGCTGTTAATGTTATTTGATATGATGTGCCCGTGTCATTCGCTACATTTATTTTAGATATTTTTTCATGAGAATATTTCTTCAGCTTTCGCTATGAAAACAAATAGGAACAATACTTGTCGTGGTGACACTATGATCCTCGTGTGACCGTATTCATTTTCCTCTGTAATTTGTCGTCATCCAGGACAAATAAGGGGTCAGAATGATATACTAGGTGCCATCATTATCACATTCTTTTTGATGGTACGAGTCCTGCAGACGTCCATTTTCTCGTACCACACGTGTCTACATAGCTGGGTACTATGACCAGAGGTTTCTAATTCGTTACAACAACACTGCGTCTGTGTTGTCATAATAGACATAATAAAGGTCAATTCTACAAGTCATTCTTTTTTTTCACTTTCTGTCACCATGAATGAATGTCGTAAACATGCCATGGTCAAGCTTTCCGCCATTGCTGCTGTAATTTTTTTAACAAAAGAATTTCTGTGTGTGTTGTCTGGTACACCCGCCGGCCCCTCCCCTAGTTGCAGTGGTAATTACTTCGATCACCGCCCAAGCCCCTAAATGTCCCCAGGGAGGAGACCATCTGATTAGGGCGGTAATTTACAGGATATTATTGAATGTAGACTTTGTCTTGTGGAACAAAACCACAAGTCGGCGAGAAGGTTGTATAAATTGTTTTCTATTATCAAATTGTCTGTATCTACGGAGGTTGATAAAGAAATTGATATTTAGTCGCCTGGGTGAATCTCCTAACGACTTTTCAAGGAGAGGAAAGCGACTGTAGCTACCGGTTACGTCCCGCGGGCCGATTCCTGTTTAAATGAGTTGGAAAATGCGAGTTTCTTTATCATCTGGTGTAGAAAATTAGCTCCCCATTTCTTATTGAACCAATGCTGACATCTTCTTAGTAATCTTTGTCTCTAATTCTGTGACCTCTTGAATTGTAAGTGGGTTTGATACCTAATAGGTCACCATCTCGTCTTGCCCTTTCCGTAGTATGCTGTTCGTTTCTTCTGTTAAATCACGAGATTCTGCTACAAGGCAGAAGTCACAATTCATATAAAATGGATTTTATCAATTGTCGTTCGATATTCCTTTTCAATTTTCTAATACTGCTCTCCAGTATTCTGGTTATCGAATTAAACGGGGGTTGAATTTCACAGAATCTTTTTTATTTCAGGCATTAAGAGTTTCCAACAATGGTTGATCAATAGAAACTGACTTATGTATGATTATGTCGGAATATGACTTTTCTATTTTCGTTCAGTTACAGATCCATATCAGCTCTACGGTCCGATTTCAAGTCGTCTGTCAAGCTCCGGTAAGTAGAAATGACACCGATTTACTGTATATATTAAGTGAAGCTTTTCAATTTTCCTGATATAATGCTGAGGTAGCCATGAGCTTACATGGCAATAGGATATCACTTTACTAGAAAGTCAGCTATTTAAAACGTTTTACATCACTTTGATTAAAAAACGATGTGACAAAACGTGTTTATATAAAGGCAATGAATGATAAGTGGAATACAGGGTTACACACAGGTCAAATGATAACTATTAATTAGTCTTATCTCTGTGAAGATCAATAGTCCAATGTGCAAGTTATTTCAAAATGCTTACATCAAGGCGATAAAACGCAATGAATAACGTTTTTTATCATATAGAAGATAATAGATTTTTCTAAGAAAGCATTCAGCCTTAATCTTACAAACACGTTTGAATGTAAACAGGCGAAAACATAAAAATTACGATAGAAATGGCATCCGGTCTTTGAGGCCTCCCTTAAAATTATTTTTTCTATATAAAAAAACTTGTGTTGTGCAGTGCCGTCTTGGAAAACAATACACATGTTTCATATCTTGTTGATTAACAGGGAGTGGTCAGATTCAGCTTTGGCAGTTCCTACTAGAACTCCTCTCAGACCGACGTAACGCGGGCTGTATAGCATGGGAGGGAAACAATGGGGAGTTCAAGCTGGTCGACCCAGACGAAGTGGCCAGACGCTGGGGTGAGAGAAAAAGCAAACCTAACATGAACTACGACAAACTTAGTCGCGCACTCAGATACTACTATGACAAAAACATTATGACAAAAGTTCACGGTAAAAGGTATGCATACAAATTTGACTTTGTGGGCCTGCAACAAGCAATCCAACCAACTGCCCCGGACACAGCTTACAGGTACCAACAGGACATGCTTATGTCCGGATATCCGTCATCTAGGCTCAACTACCTACCTGCGCATGCGTCAATGCCAGCACCGACCACCCCCAGCTTATTTGCGGCCACAAATCCTTATTGGCCAACGACAACCAATAATATCTCACCTTACATTTCAAATCATGTGATGTCACCACACGCAGGACATTTGCCGACACACATGGGATCGTTTTACTCGTAAAACGTTAGTTACAATGACATTACTTGTTATTTATGGCAAACTATTACCACATTCCTTTCTGTATATATTTGCAGAACGTTTTATTTATAAAAATCTTTTTTGTTGGAGAATCGTTGTTATTTTCAAAACGAGACATGTACATATTGTATGAATAAAAAAATGAATAAAAAAGTCATGACGTTTTAATTGTCATTTAACCGAATCATTCATAAATTCTGGACCAATGAAAGGAAAATAAGATCACAACAAGATTTTCACGGAGACCACTGAAAAAGAAGTTTAAGAAGAATTAGTCGAGGTATATGGTTCTTTCACTTCATCGATGGCACACGCCATGTCTTCTTGGTCTTACGTCATAAATAATGTCATACAACCGAACCACTATTCAGACCTATGTGATTCCATCACATGTAATTTCATATAGCTTTCCTAAAGTTTTCTCAGTGGTATAAACATTTTTTTTTAATTCTGTTTTATTTTCAACATTATTACTTAATCTAAAGAAGACTATGTTTTAAGAATGTACAAAAATGTATATGTAATCTAACCCAGTAGGTATTCTGTAATCAACATATACATTTTTTACAACCTGGACACATTTTCTTTGTTCATTATTAACGTTTGATATGTGCATAGATTTTCCATGGCCTGCTGCTGTATCTGGTCCACAGATCTACTAGTGACTAAAAAATAACAACACGTCAACATAATCATAATCCAAACTTAATAAAACTAGGGCAAAGCTAAACCTGAGAAAGTTTTACACGAAGTCTTCTGTGTTCCGGAAGTGTAAGCGTCTTTTGATCAACTAAAATAAATAATGTCACGTTCTCAAGTGAGAACTGGGTATAAAAACGGAACCAACACGAAAACTAACGAGCATCAAATACGTCCAGCTTCATATCGCACAACGATACAGAATATTTCATAATGAGATCACTATGTTGACTGTAAAACCTCCTCATAACTACAACTAGTAACAATTCTATACCTTTAATCGAAGTTGTATCTATTTTATGACATGTCGTAAAAACATTAGATATTTTCGTGATTAAATTCAGAAAAAGTGATTGATTTTAGTATAACCGTTGAGCTATATTTTTTGTTGTATGTTATCGCTTCCCCCTGAAAAAGTTGTTTCAAGACAGGCTTATCAGCGTTATTGTTTATGTAGGAAGAAGATTATCAAAATAGACAATTTGAATGCAAAATGTAAGTATGTAAATTGGTTGTCATATGTTTTTACATTCATATGATTGTTGTGTTACATACATGAACTGCCTACATGAAGTCTGTATATGTAAAGCCATTTACGTTAAACACTTATGAATGTACAACATAAGTCAAGCACCCCGTAATTGTACCGTTTATCCTACCCTAAATATGTACTGTAAATATCGCTTTACTATGGCTTTTACTGGAACAAACTAGAATGGCGTGAAGGACAACTGCCATTACTTGACAGGGACGCTATGTTTCTTTCGCTGGTTTGATAGATCTGATGTGTGCCTACATGCAGCACTGACTCACGTCAAAGGAAAGACAATGTCCGATATTTGTATTTTGTAACAAAACAATAAAATAATACCAATATCATAGCAAATTCGATCAGATCCTCTTAGAAACGAAAACATAAACTAAAACTCAATTAGGCAGCTAGAATTTTGATAGCTCATTAAAACAGGAATATAATGATAAACAAAAATACCCTTGCGGATATTTCAAACAAACGAAACCCTACAGTGTAGATTTCCACTGTCACCGAGTCTGGGTAACGAACGACACCATGTTAAATGATTGGGTAAAAAACCTCTACACAATCATCCAATTTTTTCTCCTGTTTCCTGAGGGGACAAAATATCACTAACAATTACAGAATATAATTGGCAGCACAAATAGCCAGAATTCTTTAATACCGCCACAGGCGTAAAAAATCTGGTTTAGTTTTTTAATACAATTTACGCAAAACCATTTTCAATAACGGATAGAAAGGAGCGGAAAATACATATATGCCCACACACCAATAAACAGAACTTCTTACATTTTTCATTGAAATAAGGGCATATTGCTATACGAAAGATGCAATACATATGGATATTCATCGGGCATTCACCAAAACGATATCTTACATTACAAACATTTCAACATATTCATTTATATCGGTCATGACATCCTTTTCTTATGTTAAGCTAGAAAGAACCGGTAGAGTATTACACTAGAAAGTACAAGTAGAGTGTTACACTAGGAAGTACCGGTAGAGTGTTACACTAGAAAGTACAAGTAGAGTGTTACACTAGGAAGTATCGGTAGAGTGTTACACTAGAAAGTACAAGTAGAGTGTTACACTAGAAAGTACCGGTAGAGTGTTACACTAGGAAGTACCGGTAGAGTGTTACACTAGGAAGTATCGGCAGTGTTACACTAGGAAGTACCGGTAGAGTGTTACACTAGGAAGTACCGGTAGAGTGTTACACTAGGAAGTACAGGTAGAGTGTTACACTAGGAAGTACAGGTAGAGTGTTACACTAGGAAGTACAGGTAGAGTGTTACACTAGGAAGTACAAGTAGAGTGTTACACTAGAAAGTACAAGTAGAGTGTTACACTAGGAAGTATCGGTAGAGTGTTACACTAGATTGTACCGGTAGAGTATTACACTAAAAACTAAAAAGTACCGGTAGAGTGTTACACTAGAAAGTACCGGTAGAGTGTTACACTAGGAAGTACAGGTAGAGTGTTACACTAGGAAGTACAGGTAGAGTGTTACACTAGGAAGTACAGGTAGAGTGTTACACTAGAAAGTACAAGTAGAGTGTTACACTAGGAAGTACCGGTAGAGTGTTACACTAGGAAGTACCGGTAGAGTGTTACACTAGGAAGTACAGGTAGAGTGTTACACTAGGAAGTACAGGTAGAGTGTTACACTAGGAAGTACCGGTAGAGTGTTACACTAGGAAGTACCGGTAGAGTGTTACACTAGGAAGTATCGGCAGTGTTACACTAGGAAGTACCGGTAGAGTGTTACACTAGGAAGTACAAGTAGAGTGTACCTAGAAAGTACAAGTGTTACACTAGGAAGTACGGTAGTGTTACACTAAGTACACGGTAGAGTGTTACACTAGGAAGTACAGGTAGAGTGTTACACTAGGAAGTACCGGTAGAGTGTTACACTAGGAAGTACAGGTAGAGTGTTACACTAGGAAGTACAGGTAGAGTGCTACACTAGGAAGTACAGGTAGAGTGTTACACTAGGAAGTACAGGTAGAGTGTTACACGGTAGAGTGTTACACTAGGAAGTACAGGTAGAGTGTTACACACCCTCTCTTCCGGTAGAGTGTTACACTAGGAAGTACAGGTAGAGTGTTACACTAGGAAGTACAAGTAGAGTGCTACACTAGGAAGTACAAGTAGAGTGCTACACTAGGAAGTACAGGTAGAGTGTTACACTAGGAAGTACAGGTAGAGTGTTACACTAGGAAGTACAGGTAGAGTGTTACACTAGATTGTACCGGTAGAGTGTTACACTAGGAAGTACCGGCAGTGTTACACTAGGAAGTACCGGTAGAGTGTTACACTAGGAAGTACAGGTAAGTGTACACTAGAAAGGTAGTAGTGTTACACTAGGAAGTACAGGTAGAGTGTTACACTAGAAGTACCGGTAGAGTGTTACACTAGGAAGTACCGGTAGAGTGTTACACTAGGAAGTACAAGTAGAGTGTTACACTAGAAAGTACAAGTAGAGTGTTACACTAGGAGTGTTACACTAGTGTTACACTAGAAGTACCTAGGAAGTAGAGTGTTACACTAGGAAGTACGGTAGAGTGTTACACTAGGAAGTACAGGTAGAGTGTTACACTAGGAGAGTGTTACACTAGTGAAGTACAGGTAGAGTGTTACAGGAAGTACCTAGAGTACCGGTAGAGTGTAGGAAGTACAACACTAGGAGTGTTACCGGTAGAGTGTTACACTAGGAAGTATCGGCAGTGTTACACTAGGAAGTACCGGTAGAGTGTTACACTAGGAAGTATCGGCAGTGTTACACTAGGAAGTACCGGTAGAGTGTTACACTAGGAAGTACCGGTAGAGTGTTACACTAGGAAGTACAGGTAGAGTGTTACACTAGGAAGTACAGGTAGAGTGTTACACTAGGAAGTACAGGTAGAGTGTTACACTAGGAAGTACCGGTAGAGTGTTACACTAGGAAGTACAGGTAGAGTGTTACACTAGGAAGTACAGGTAGAGTGTTACACTAGAAAGTACAAGTAGAGTGTTACACTAGGAAGTACCGGTAGAGTGTTACACTAGGAAGTACAGGTAGAGTGTTACACTAGGAAGTACAGGTAGAGTGTTACACTAGGAAGTATATGTAGAGTGTTACACTAGGAAGTACCGGTAGAGTGTTACACTAGGAAGTACCGGTAGAGTGTTACACTAGGAAGTACAGGTAGAGTGTTACACTAGGAAGTACAAGTAGAGTGCTACACTAGGAAGTATATGTAGAGTGTTACTCAAGGAAGTACCGGTAGAGTGTTGTGCTAAAAAGTACATTTGACTTCATATTTTCATCTCTTTTGCTGACACGATCCCCGAACTCACCCTCTCTTCCTTTGACTTCACATTTCCATCTCTATATCTGACACGTTCCCCGAACATACCTCCTTGACATTTGACATCATATTGTGATACATATTGTCCCACCATGTTCTTCCCGATGTTTCTTTCTTAGAATTTAGTATTTTCGTTCATCATTTTTGTCGGTGCCAATAAATTTCAGTCACATTCAATACTACTTATACTTTTTAATACTATAAGAAATTTTTTAAGTAGAAGAAAAACGCGATCTTGTAGAGAACAAATTATTCTGGGGTAGTAAGGTAGGAAGATCGCTTTATCATTAGTACCAATCGGTGGCACACTGATCTAGCGATCACCAAGACAACAATACTAACACAAGGCCTATTTAATATGTATTGTGGTCAATTAACGACATTGTTAAAGCTATCGTTGGTATGGTCAGACTAGAATAAGAAATCGTGTCAATCTGAAATTACTGAATACGGTCGATGTTTATATCAGGTATATATGTTATTAAAGAAGACATATTACATATCCAATCAGCAGATATTTATAACAGCTATCTTCCTGTCCGATATGGATGCTTCTCATAACATTTAATGTCATTAAAATAAACAAACAGTAATAGTTGACAAATTGTGGTCTATAAACAACGATACAGGAACAATACAGAATACACCGACATGTCAAGAAAATCTTAATTCAATTCTGATTGGATGAAATGAGAACAAACGTGGAGACCCTTGAAAAGAGGATAAGACCAGGTGTTTCGTAAGGGTAAGCATCTTGTGCCTCATCGACAACAACAACGAGAATATGTCCAACACACAGGTACAAAACGAACTCAGATTCGAAAAAAGTAAGAACTGAATGGATACGAACACTAACAAATTTTGACAGTTATACTAAACATTTTTTGAAAGCTCGTTTTTAAGCAAATAAAAAAGGGACTATGGTTCTCTCTGTAAATATTATTTTCAAGATGGCGATTTTTTTTTAACTCGATTCAATCTACGAAACAAGAAAGAACCTCTCAGAAATCTACAATCTACAGCATGAATATATTTAGATATCAGCCTCAGTTTACTTTAGATACATAAATCTATGTTAGTCAAATTCGTCGGGTTCGGTGGTAATATTTCCAGCAGACTTTGGCCATACCTATGTGATCTAAATGCGCCCCTCTGTTGTCTGATTTTTCTTACGAGGTTAAATTTATCAAAGCATATCAAATCAGATCACAAAGACCTTGCAAAGTCGTTCAATTTCAATTTCAGAAATCTATTAACCACGCCCATCCTCCACCAGAATCAGAAATCAAGGACACGACAGACTCTTCTACATCAGCCGCTTATCTCGATCTTTCACTACAACGAAACCGACATAGACAGCTTTCCGCCAATTTCATCAATTTTCCGTTTGTGTTTAGCAACATTCAATGCATCCCAATCCTATGTATTTTTGCAGTTGATTCAATATTCAAGGGCCTGTTCACATTATCACGATTTTCGTGCAAGAATTGGTCATTTGACTGACAAAGTCGTAAAACAAGGTTTCAAAAGGTACAGTTTGATGAAAAATTATGGGGAAGTTTTACGGTGTCTGACGTGTTTGATTTTTGTTAGATGGTTTGTTGGTTCGTTGTTGTAGACCTTGTTCTCACAAAAGAACGTGACATGACCACGAAACAGGAGATGCTTGTTCTTCTGAAAGGATTTTTTGATGTTGCTTTCCCTTGTCTTTACAAACTTCTATTTCTCTGTGCCATTTTGGAAACACAATATATTTTTTTTCCAAATAGAGGAAGATAGTTAGCTCTAAAACAAAGTTAAGGCAAACTCAGTTAAACAATCTGACTAGAATTGATATTTGCTTTACATAAGACTTGAATGATTTGTAGATAAAAACAGGCTGTTTATCCCGTTTTTTGTTATGTGACCAAGTGCAGGGGCATGTCCCAGGCTAACATTTCAGTGTAATAGTACTGTCTGTATGTCCTTCTATCCCATTTATAGTACATGCCATGTCCCTGTGATCCCATCAATAAGTAGACTCTATCATATTTAATCTTCTTATCAGTAACACTGTTTCTGTCTCACTATAACATACATATTCACAGTATGTGTCCTCACATATTAAATTAATAGCCCGTTGTTTATATATATATATGTATATCATGAAATCATGAATGATAAAATCTTTAAAACTAAAACAAATTATAATAGGAAAAAGAAATGTATTTCATATTGGGAAAAGTATAAAAGTGGTTTGAAAATAAGCAATGCTATGACCTAACTGTAAGTCTGACACTGAAATCAATTAAATACCAAGTTCGGTTTTACCACTTGCTTCCAAAGTCTAAATTGTATAATGCTGTTGAAATTCATGATAAGATAATTATGCGAAAAAGTACGAAGATAAGCCTCACTCGAAAAAGTACGAAGAAAGGCCTCACTCGAAAAAGTACGAAGATAGGCCTCACTCGAAAAAGTACGAAGATAGGCCTCACTCGAAAAAGTACGAAGATAAGCCTCACTCAAAAAAGTACGAAGAAAGGCCTCACTCAAAAAAGTACGGCGATAGGCCTCACTCGAAAAAAGACGAAGATAGGCCTCATTCGAAAAAGTACGAAGAAAGGCCTCACTCAAAAAAGTACGAAGATATGCCTCACTCGAAAAAAGACGAAGATATGCCTCACTCGAAAAAAGACGAAGATAGGCCTCATTCGAAAAAGTCCGACGATAGGCCTCACTCGAAAAAGTACGAATATATGCCTCACTCGAAAAAGTACGAAGAAAGGCCTCACACAAAAAAGTACGAAGATAGGCCTCACTCGAAAAAGTACGACGATAGGCCTCACTCAAAAAAGTACGAATATATGCCTCACTCGAAAAAGTACGAATATATGCCTCACTCGAAAAAGTACGGCGATAGGCCTCACTCGAAAAAAGACGAAGATATGCCTCACTCAAAAAAGTACGAAGATATGCCTCACTCAAAAAAGTACGAAGATATGCCTCACTCGAAAAAGTACGAACATATGCCTCACTCAAAAAAGTACGAAGATATGCCTCACTCGAAAAAGTACGAAGATAGGCCTCACTCAAAAAAGTACGAAGATAGGCCTCACTCAAAAAAGTACGAAGATATGCCTCACTCAAAAAAGTACGAATATATGCCTCACTCAAAAAAGTACGAAGATAGGCCTCACTCAAAAAAGTACGAAGATAGGCCTCACTCAAAAAAGTACGAATATATGCCTCACTCAAAAAAGTACGAAGATATGCCTCACTCAAAAAAGTACGAATATAAGCCTCACTCAAAAAAGTACGACGATAGGCCTCACTCGAAAAAGTACGGCGATAGGCCTCACTCGAAAAAGTACGAATATATGCCTCACTCGAAAAAGTACGAAGAAAGGCCTCACACAAAAAAGTACGAAGATAAGCCTCACTCAAAAAAGTACGACGATAGGCCTCACTCAAAAAAGTACGACGATATGCCTCACTCGAAAAAGTACGGCGATAGGCCTCACTCGAAAAAGTACGGCGATAGGCCTCACTCGAAAAAGTACGAATATATGCCTCACTCAAAAAAGTACGACGATAGGCCTCACTCAAAAAAGTACGACGATATGCCTCACTCAAAAAAGTACGACGATAGGCCTCACTCAAAAAAGTACGACGATATGCCTCACTCAAAAAAGTACGAAGATATGCCTCACTCGAAAAAGTACGACGATAGGCCTCACTCGAAAAAGTACGACGATATGCCTCACTCGAAAAAGTACGAAGATATGCCTCACTCGAAAAAAGACGAAGATATGCCTCACTCGAAAAAGTACGAAGATATGCCTCACTCAAAAAAGTACGAAGATATGCCTCACTCAAAAAAGTACGAAGATATGCCTCACTCAAAAAAGTACGAAGATATGCCTCACTCAAAAAAGTACGGCGATAGGCCTCATTCGAAAAAGTACGAAGATAGGCCTCACTCAAAAAAGTACGACGATATGCCTCACTCGAAAAAGTACGAATATATGCCTCACTCAAAAAAGTACGAAGATATGCCTCACTCGAAAAAATACGAATATATGCCTCACTCGAAAAAGTATGCCTACATGCCTAACTCTGTCTGCAGTTAAAACACATCGGATGTAACAAAAACCCGTACTAATACATATCTGATTCTAAGTATATGTATTGGCTGTTGACACCGACCCCTTGCAGTGACATGTTATCTATTGGGGACTTGTAGTCTTAGAGGCTGTGACGACAAAGGAACTAAAACGTCACACAAACCTTTCCAAGAATCGTACTGACTAACTACTCTAGTGCCCTTTGATACAATAAAACGATTTATACACTGACCTACAAAACTTCAACTGCATGCAAAATCCTAACAGCAGGTGACACCGTACAAAACAAAACAAAACCCGCTGTTGTATAAACGAACCTTTGCTTTCAGATTACTCAAGAAAGGTGCTTTCCTCTTCCGAAAACGCTAAACATGCCTACAAACTGCAGGTGTTGTATATCCCAGCAAAACCGTATCGTTTTGACAGTTTCTCTTTAAAAATATCTTCTTTTTGGCGCTTAAACTAGTTTTATTTCGATATCTTTGAATTTATTCAATGTTTATAACATATTCTTTATTGCTACCACTCGCTATATTTCAATGTATTTTTGTTCTGTTTGTTCGATGTTTATGAAAATGACCTCTCTTGTGTAATACTCAATCAAACATTTCTGTACCAATACCGGCAAGGACAAGTTGGCACTGTTATTATTGATAACAAATGTTAAGATGACATTGTCGCGTGGCGGTGACAACCATTTTGGAAAATCAGAATTCACATGACCCATGACCCACAATCAGACAGCAGAAGGTTAAACCTCTTTATCATACTCATAAATCACAATTTTGAAAATTTATAAAAATGAAAGTTGTTTTGTTATTTCTCATCGTTTATCGTTTTGTGTGGTCTCCAAGTACTCCTTTATTAATATGTCATTTTTTAGTTTTTCGTTTAAATGGCAAAAGCAAAAACATGAATGATTTTCTATGCATTTTAATTGAATGTAACACAAAGAATTTACCGGAGATTTTAATTTTGGAGGAATCTAGTTTATCATTATTGGATAACTATATAGAGGTAATTGTATTAAAGGCTATTTATCACTGCGGTATTGATTCTCTGTATCTCTCTCTCAGTTGGACATGTCATTTTTCACCTTAGATTTAAGCCGAGATACAAACAATATATATTATGATGTACAACGTATCAAAATCTAACTGCATAGATACTAATGGTTTCAGCGATGGTCACGATGTTGGAACAAAACCTTGACACTCCTGGCAGAGTGACGCTTTGTTAGATAGCTTTGTTCTGAACATTGCTAGCCATTAGAAGTGAGCATTCCCCATAACATACTACATAACGTGCCGACTAAAATCGATCATGTATTGATCTTTCTAAATGTGCAGGGATGTTAAAAACGTCGGTTTTAATTGATAGGAACAATTTGGAAGCGATATCGTTCGGACAATATAATTTTTTGTTACTTTGAATGATCCGGCACGATTGTTCAGTTTCTAGTGAGTGATGTTTCCGATTTAAGCATCCGACTGGATTCCGCGTAGCGTCACAGTAATGCTAGCCATTTCCGGTGAGTGATTCGGCGCGCATTGTTATCGGGTCGTGTGGATGAGAAACGGGGAACTATTTAATGTAGTTAGCTGTAAACTATAATGTTAACTTTCCGTCTACAGTTCGTGTGCAATAATAGATCTTCCTGCCCATTAGCAGACGTTCACTTAACTTTCAGTTCTGTCTACCCATACTTCGCTCTTGATCGCTTTGCTACCAGTTTAAAGTAAAGCTTTGTCTATCAACTCCCGTTCCTGTGAACGAATAGTTACAAATTACAGGTTTTATAGAAGCCGAAATGGAAGCGACGTCAGATTACCGGAGGAAAATAAAAAAGATTTCCAGAAATTTATCCCAAAGTTTTCATGAAATTGACCTTGAAAAGCTTGTCACTGTCTTTTATCAATTCTATTCTCAATACTGCCGTCAGCTGTCATTACAGGAACATGTCGAAACGTCTCTTACTATTTGCTAATATTCACTGTTGTAGATTTCCTGTTCATGCGAAGTAACAGTAGAATAAGAGAAAAGGTATTGGTACGGTTTTTATATATACAATCGGGTATTAACTACAAAAAACGGTTCTATCCATAAAGATTCTGTCTCATTTATATGTCTGGGAGTATTACTATCAAGTGAGGCTCGTTATGAATCTGCTCTGATGAAAAGTCAGAATTTTTTGATAACTGACTTTTAGAATGTCATACTTCACGAAAATATAGAAATATCAAAAATAAACAGAACAAATAGGTCAATGTGCTCGTTTTATCATGGCATGTTGCTGAACCCTCGGTAGTATCCTTGATGCGTTTTAGAGCTGTTTACTCTAAAGCGTTGCCTTCTTCTATATAGTTAATACTTGTGATATTTTATAACATTCATCATCAGCTGTTCCTTTCTGAATAAGCATCTGGTATTGATTTTTAACATAAATAAAAAAATGTTTCTGAAGCGAAAAGTGCAAGAGTGGAGGAGTGTTGATTAGAAATAATCGGGTAATTTTTTACCTGAGGTAGGTATATACCTATATATTACCTACAGTGCTTGTATGACAATCATGACAACACCACGCAGTTCTATACAGTTTCCTCTCTATTACTATGTTGTACAATACGTGTATTGACGAAACGATTTGGACAAAAACCTATATCAGATAAACTCATCTGACCGGTTCATAACAGTTCAAAGAAGACTTCCCAGCTTCCACTGAAAAATGTAAACAGTGCGTAAAAATAATTAACATGGTATTGTTTGTGTTCATAGAGCTAGGAATGTGTTTTTATGTAGAAAAAAATACAGGATTGAGTAAATGTATATTTGTTAAGTTGAACCTGGTTGTAATCAAATGAACCGGACTGTATTTTTCAATCACTCAAACGTTTAGTCATATTTGACGATAAAATGTAACCAGAAGAAAAACAAATAAAATAAATAAACTAAGGAACAAACAAAAAGGCCACAATTCCGCCACATCAACCTCAAAAACGAAATCATTTGTTTCAATGAATGAAAATGGATGTCGTTTGAGGCGAGTTCACCCAAATAATGATAACTCTATCAAGTAAGACAGGTTTTGAGTAAGCACATGTTATTAAACCCATATATCTTATTTAATTGTTTATGATAATTAAAACTCCGAATTCGCCTTTACCAGAACAAACTATTAAGTATGACACTTAAGTAAATAATCTTTACAGGTTTATTAATTTTTAGTTTCTTTTAGTTTTGCCCACTACGTGCTTGTGCTTAAATATGTACTCCTTTGACGTTTGACCGGAAGTAAGACATAATTAAATATACAATTAATTCCAACATGATACCTTGAACTTTTGTGTTTTTATCTACAGTTATAATTACAATCCTTTTTTTCAAAAAAAAAAAATGTGATTTTTGTTTTCGGGTTACTAAGTATTTGTCTTGAGCATAACTCTGAATTTCAACTAAATTTTACATGAATTATCACCTTTCGCAGATTTTTGGGACCCGAAAATAAATATTTCAGTCGGTTTCTTAATCTGGAAAACTGGCTATTTGGGTGAAAATTGCAAACGTGAAAACATGGGGACAGACACCTTTTTTCTTACTCATGAAAAGCATCCTCGAAAATGTTTCTATCGAAACATCAAATCTTTTTTAAATGTTTAATACCAGAAGATGTTTAGATAAAGGTCTGAAGTCGTTTTGGAACATTTTTATTTTTGTTGTTGCTATGCAGTTTAAAGCTCATAGCCCATGAAAATGAAAATGAAAAATTTGCATTTGCACATTATTTTTTTCTCAATACCAAGTATAATACATGAACTTGGTTATGGAAGAAGAAAGGAAAATTCATTTTTTAAAATGTTGCCGCAAAAATAACAAAGAAAGTCAGTTATTCATATATTCTGGCTGTAACGAGAAAAGCAGTGCGGAAACATATTGATTGGATGTGTTTAATCTACTGTAAAATAAAGCCTTTCAAAAAATCATCTTCAGAGAGAAGTTTAATACCGGATCTATTTTCGTAAAGGAGCACATCCTTCATTTCATTCTTCATTTGGCGAAACAAGTTGGTGAAAGTCTCTCAGACAACGAACATCAACAGGAAACCATTTATAAAAATTCCGCCATTCTACCTACAGTCCGCGATACGTATAATGGTGCTAATTATAGATAGGTTTGAAGATACATATACATGATATTATAATTTATACTGTATTGGGTCTTTCAACAACATTTCGATATACCTAAATATGAATTATTTTCATATGGAGAAAGTTATTGTATCATAAATGTTACAGGATATAATATACGTGCCCTGTCGGAACATCTCGCTTGTCTCCGTCCGTTTATCATTATTCGAGTCCTTTTTGTATTTCGTATTTTTACCTCTCTTTGGTTCTGTCGTAATTTTTAGGTTCTCGATTTTATGATTAATTGAACAAATAAGATTTTCCTCCTTATACTTAGCATCAAATCCTCTTTGTTAAAATGTTACTATTTTGAAGTATTTTCACTGAGAACAAGCTTTAGAATAGTTTATATGTTGACAGAATATAACCCAAACTTCTCTGCAATTATATTTATTTATTTATTAATTTTTCCATGAAAAGTATGAAACGGGTCAAAGAGCATTGTTTAAACTTGATCACTAATAAATTTTTCAAAGGTTGAAAAAAGGCGTCACTTATAGGAATGTTTTCGTGCCAAACCTACAACTGTAGCACTTCCGGTCAGAAAGTGAACCCAATATTATTAGTAGCTTTTGATCAATTTTGCATTATTCTAGAATGAATGAGACAGCTTTTGACACAAACACACAGTAAAGCCTCAACGAGAATTGGCGACAAATACCCGATATAGATTATCTATGCGTCACTCGGTACTACCCTACTATAGAAACAGCCCATAAACACTGATAACCATCTTATAAGTCTCCCACTAAAGCATTATAAATCAAGTAGCTTCGCCAACAAAACACCACTTTCTCTGTCCAACATACATCACAGCCTTTT